TAGTGGCTTGTGTCCACCTGAGACACTGTCTGTGTGTAATTAGTGACTTGTGTCCACCTCAGACACTGTTTGTAATTAGTGGCTTGTGTCCATCTGAGACACTGTCTGTGTGTAATTAGTGTCTTGTGTCCACCTGAGACACTGTCTGTGTGTAATTAATAACTTGTGTATACCTGAGAAACTGTCTGTCTGTTACTAGTCACGTATGTCCACCTGAGACACTGTCTGTGTGTAATGAGGGACTTGTGTACACCTGAGACACTGTCTGAGTTATGAGTGACGTATGTCCACCTGAGACACTGTCTGTCTGTTATTAGTGACTTGTGTACACCTGAGACACTTCTGTGTTATTAGTGACGTATGTCCACCTGAGACACTGTCTGTCTGTTACTAGTGACGTATGTCCACCTGAGACACTGTCTGTAATTAGTGACGTGTGTACACCTGATATACTGTCTGTGTTATGAGTGACGTATGTCCACCTGAGACACTGTCTGTCTGTAATTAGTGACTTGTGTACACCTGAGACACTGTCTGTGTATAATTAGAGCATTCATCAACTACCGAATTGATTCCACCCTAGAATACGAGTAAACTAGCAAGTCGTGAATCAAACTTGCTGGGGCTGACAATTGATCCCTCGTCTCGGTTTGAATATTTACCACAATATCAAGTTTAATGATACTTGAAGGTGTCAGCAGGATCTGTGAAACCAAATCGAGTATTAAGGTCTCACTTGTTTAGCCAAGTGTTCTTTATGTTAAACGCATGTTAAGAAAGGTTATATATTTCAGCGAACCTTTGTCTATTCAGAACGTATACAGGCTCGCTCAGGAATTTGCAAGACAGAGGCAAGTCCAAATACCTGCCGTGTTCGTGTTTCTACCGTACAGACAAGAACAGTAGTTTAATGTTTCATCATTGACATGTACATGACATGTATTCATAGACTCGGAATCAGTAGCACACGTGAAACTGACATCTTTTGAAATGTACAAGTGTCCGTGTATGTATATATCCAGTCAAACGGTGCAGTGATCTGTTCAAATAGACAAAATCCATCGGTTATGTGTTGGGACTTGACAGAACAAATATTGAACCAAATGCGATTGAAATAATTTGAAGCTATTTACCTCCATCAATAGAAAAAAACTGACATTATTTAGAATAGGTTTGTTGACACAACGCTATTGACATGCGTGGTATAAGGTGTACAGCTGTTTGACTGATAGCGCTATTGACGCACGTATCGCAGATGTTGCGGAGGACATTCCTGGCGCGTTTCACCTGCGCTGGTCAAAGCCAGTGACCATGTATCGGACAATAGGCCGTCGTGTCACAGTTGTTGGATGTTGGAGTGTGGTTCAGCATCCGCACACTCAGAGGGCTGACGTGTATGTCGTTTGATTGAACAGGGCTATGAATAAAATCACTCTCTGGAAAATAGTGTTGTGTAGGTGAAGAAATACAATGGTGTTGATCTATTAAGCTTCGACCTTATGTTGTCGTATGAAGTATTGAATCAATCGGCTGACAGTTTTGGTTAGAAACGAAAGTGATGAAATAGAGTCAAGTCGATAACTGGAGCTCTGAAATAGGTTACGGAGAAAACCATGTTTAAACAGGTAGTGGTTAGATTTATTTATAGATCTTGAAATAAAGCGTATCGATACGATAAAGCGTGTCGGGTTTTAGTTAGGTAGCGCGAGTAATGGTTACAAAGTTTAAATGAGGAAATATATGCTGATTTTAAAACCTGCTTAAACTTTATCAATACGTACATGAGTCTGAACTTCTCGGGGTGATCTGTTATCAGAGGTGTGTGTGTGTGTGTGTGTGTGTGTGTGTGTGTGTGTGTGTGTGTGTGTGTGTGTGTACTAGTCCGGAGTAATTCCGATTATATAGTGCTAGCCCACTGAGATATCATGCCGCAGTTTACCATGAATACCCCACTCAGACACAGTACACTGTCTCCGAGCCGACCACTCCTTGTTTTAGCCCCTTAATGTCGATCGCCAGAGAGGGTAACAACAAGTACCATCTTATAACGTCTTTTGGTATGACGCGACCGGTGATCGAACCCCGGACCTTCCGCTCTCCGGGCGGACGCTCTACCACTAGACCACGGAAGTTGTCTTGTTATCTGTTCAGCGGACAGAGTGATGGTGACACCTCGCCATTGTGGTTCGTGTTAGTGCGTACGTGATGGTGGTTATACATCTTATCGTGTATGTGTTTTGTTTGTTTGTTGTTTTACACCAATGTCAACCACATTCTGGCCACATCACGGCGCCATGTAGATTATCGAGTCTTGATCAGTCCAACCAGTGATTGGTATTATAAGCAACTTCCCACACCGTTGGGTTAAGGTGACGCGCTATTAATCAAGGCACCACTCGATCCATCCCGTCGCCTGTTAACGACAAGGACAGTTTGCTGGGTGTATATTCTAATATGTATTCCATCACGGGTCTCCGTCATTTCATGATCAGCTGTTTAGTATACAGAATAACGGTGAAATATATCCGATAGGTAATTTGTTGCAGTTGATTCTTTTGTCTGTTTGTGATTTCCCTCGTTATGTGTTCTTCCCTCGTAATGTGTTCTTCCCTCGTTCATGTGTTCTTCCCTCGTTCATGTGTTCTTCCCTCGTTATGTGTTCTTCCCTCGTAATGTGTTCTTCCCTCGTTATGTGTTCTTCCCACGTTCATGTGTTCTTCCCTCGTAATGTGTTCTTCCCTCGTTATGTGTTCTTCCCTCGTTATGTGTTCTTCCCTCGTTATGTGTTCTTCCCTCGTTATGTGTTCTTCCCTCGTTATGTGTTCTTCCCTCGTTCTGTGTTCTTCCCTCGTTATGTGTTCTTCCCTCGTTCTGTGTTCTTCCCTCGTTCATGTGTTCTTCCCTCGTAATGTGTTCTTCCCTCGTTATGTGTTCTTCCCTCGTTATGTGTTCTTCCCACGTTCATGTGTTCTTCCCTCGTAATGTGTTCTTCCCTCGTTATGTGTTCTTCCCTCGTTATGTGTTCTTCCCTCGTTATGTGTTCTTCCCACGTTCATGTGTTCTTCCCTCGTTATGTGTTCTTCCCTCGTAATGTGTTCTTCCCTCGTTATGTGTTCTTCCCACGTTCATGTGTTCTTCCCTCGTAATGTGTTCTTCCCTCGTTATGTGTTCTTCCCTCGTTATGTGTTCTTCCCTCGTTATGTGTTCTTCCCTCGTTATGTGTTCTTCCCTCGTAATGTGTTCTGCCCTCGTTCATGTGTTCTTCCCTCGTTATGTGTTCTTCCCTCGTTATGTGTTCTTCCCTCGTTATGTGTTCTTCCCTCGTTCATGTGTTCTTCCCTCGTAATGTGTTCTTCCCTCGTTATGTGTTCTTCCCTCGTTATGTGTTCTTCCCTCGTTATGTGTTCTTCCCTCGTTATGTGTTCTTCCCTCGTAATGTGTTCTGCCCTCGTTCATGTGTTCTTCCCTCGTTATGTGTTCTTCCCTCGTTATGTGTTCTTCCCTCGTTCTGTGTTCTTCCCTCGTTCATGTGTTCTTCCCTCGTTCATGTGTTCTTCCCTCGTTCATGTGTTCTGCCCTCGTTCATGTGTTCTTCCCTCGTTCTGTGTTCTTCTCTCCTTCATGTGTTCTTCCCTCGTTATGTGTTCTTCCCTCGTTATGTGTTCTTCCCTCGTTATGTGTTCTTCCCTCGTTATGTGTTCTTCCCTCGTAATGTGTTCTTCCCTCGTTATGTGTTCTTCCCTCGTTATGTGTTCTTCCCTCGTAATGTGTTCTTCCCTCGTTATGTGTTCTTCTCAAGTTCATGTGTTCTTGCCCCGTTCATGTATATCCATATCCATGTATATCCATAGATGTATTTCCCTCGATTCATGTGTTTCCCTGACCTGTGAAGATCCGGGGTAGAATAGGTCATCAGCAACCCATGCTTGCCGTAAAAGCCGACTATGCTTGTCGCAAAAGGCGACTAACGGGATCGGGTGGTCAGGCTCGCTGACTTGGTTGATGCATGTCATCGTATCCAAATTTCATGGATTGATGCTTATGATACGGGTACGTTAATGTAGTGAACTGAGGCCTTACTCAAGTTATCTCCCTTGGATACTTTGAATCACAGGATTGTCTGGTCAGACTCGATTAGTTGCAGTCCGTCGTCATATAGCTGGAATACTGTTGAGTGAGGAGTTAAACAACAAACAAACAAACTTTCACTGATTTGAATAACTCCCCTGTGTATTTTCTTAATATGTTACTGTATTAGTTTAGATGTGTCTACCCCGACGACCTGGGTCACTGCTCACAATATCAATCACTGGTTCGTCCGCTCCAGATTTGATTAACTACAGGCCGACATAATTTTGACTGGAATAAATTCAAGTTCACCGCTTAAACATTACCAAACAGACCCTCCTGTCTATTTCTTCTCGCCAACTGAGTTTTATCATGAGCCCCATTAATGCCGGTCCTCGCAGTAGTATTGGGGAGAAAACCGCACTCACTCACTCACTCAACTAGAGAGCGTTGGACGCGTGCAACATCGACCTTGTGTGCCTCTGGTGTAGGCCTGGTTTACATTAAGCAGGTGTACCGCAAGTCTATCGACAACCTCGAAGTGAGATGCCACACTGGGATGTGTTTTGTAATGAACAGAGGCCGCAGTTAACACAATACCATCACCGTTGGAAACAACAAACAACTTCAACGCTGCTAGTGTCATAACAAGGGATAGATAGCACCCATGGAATTGCACTGCGCACATCCATTGTCCAACGATCCTTGGCGAGGAGCTTTGCGTGGATAAACCCTCTAAACCCTCCCGCCGTTAGCGCATACCTCGACGACGAAATCGCATGTTAACAAGGCCAAACATTTTAGCGATGCGTTTTATTGTTGTAATAAAAATGAAGTCGGTTCGGTTAGACAAAGTGGGTGGTCGAATGACCTTTGTCTCTGTCCCGACAAACACAATGACCAGTGTTAGTTCAAAGGGCACGGCTTATAGATTATGGAGAGGGGATATTACGGACAATTAAAGGGATTTCGAGATGCCATTTTTCCAGACTTTCACGGCGAAAGAAAGGTAGGGCAATCCGGGTAGGTGGATAACGGTAGTGTTTAAGATGGGGATGAGGCGGGGTGCAGGGTGGTGGGGGTGTAGGGTTGTGGGGGTGTAGGGGTGTAGGGGGTGGGGGTGTAGAGGGGTGGGGATGTTGGGTGGTGGGCGTGCGGGGTGATGGTGCTGTAGGGCGGTGGGGGTGTAGGGCGGTGGGGGTGTAGGGTGGTGGGGTGTAGGGATGTTGGGGTGTAGGGCGGTGGGGGTGTAGGGCGGTGGGGATGTAGGGTGGTGGGGTGTAGGGATGTTGGGGTGTAGGGCGGTGGGGGTGTAGGGCGGTGGGGATGTAGGGTGGTGGGGTGTAGGGATGTTGGGGTGTAGGGCGGTGGGGGTGTAGGGCGGTGGGGGTGTAGGGTGGTGGGGGTGTAGGGCGGTGGGGATGTAGGGTGGTGGGGTGTAGGGATGTTGGGGTGTAGGGCGGTGGGGGTGTAGGGCGGTGGGGATGTAGGGTGGTGGGGGTGTAGGGCGGTGGGGATGTAGGGTGGTGGGGTGTAGGGATGTTGGGGTGTAGGGCGGTGGGGGTGTAGGGCGGTGGGGATGTAGGGTGGTGGGGGTGTAGGGCGGTGGGGGTGTAGGGTGGTGGGGATGTAGGGTGGTTGGGGTGTAGGGCGGTGGGGGTGTAGGGTGGTGGGGGTGTAGGGCGGTGGGCGTGTAGGGTGGTGGGGGTGTAGGGTGGTGGGGGTGTAGGGCGGTGGGGGTGTAGGGCGGTGGGGGTGTAGGGTGGTGGGGTGTAGGGCGGTGGGGGTGTAGGGCGATGGGGGTCTAGGGTGGTGTGCGTGTAGGGCGGTGGGGATGTAGGGTGGTGGGGTCTAGGGTCGTGGGGTGTAGGGCGGTGGGGGTGTAGGGCGATGGGGGTGTAGGGTGGTGGGGTGTAGGGATGTTGGGGTGTAGGGCGGTGGGGATGTAGGGCGGTGGGGGTGTAGGGTGGTGGGGGTGTAGGGCGGTGGGGGTGTAGGGTGGTGGGGTGTAGGGCGGTGGGGGTGTAGGGCGATGGGGGTCTAGGGTGGTGGGCGTGTAGGGCGGTGGGGATGTAGGGTGGTGGGGTGTAGGGATGTTGGGGTGTAGGGCGGTGGGGGTGTAGGGCGATGGGGGTGTAGGGTGGTGGGGTGTAGGGATGTTGGGGTGTAGGGCGGTGGGGGTGTAGGGCGGTGGGGATGTAGGGTGGTGGGGGTGTAGGGCGGTGGGGGTGTAGGGCGGTGGGGGTGTAGGGATGTTGGGATGTAGGGTGGTGGGGATGTAGGGCGGTGGGGGTGTAGGGTGGTGGGGGTGTAGGGCGGTGGGGGTGTAGGGTGGTGGGGTGTAGGGCGGTGGGGGTGTAGGGCGATGGGGGTCTAGGGTGGTGGGCGTGTAGGGCGGTGGGGTTGTAGGGCGGTGGAGTGTGTAGGGTGATGGGGGTGTAGGGTGGTGGGCGTGTAGGGTGTGGGGATGTAGGGTGGTGGGGGTGTAGGGGGGTACAGGGTGGGGGGGTGAAGGGCGGTTGGGATGTAGGGTGGTGGGCGTATAGGGCGGTGGGGTTGTAGGGCGGTGGTGTGTGTAGGGTGATGGGGGTGTAGGGTGATGGGGTGTAGGGTGGTGGGCGTGTAGGGTGTGGGGATGTAGGGTGGTTGGGGTGCAGGGTGGTGGGGGTGTAGGGTGGTTGGGGTGTAGAGTGGTGGGGGTGTAGGGTGGTGGGAGTGCAGGGTGGTGGAGTGCAGGGCGGTGGGCGTGTAGGGTGGTGGGGGTGTAGAGTGGTGGGCGTGTAGGGTGGTGGGGGTGCAGGGTGGTGGGGGTGTAGGGTGGTGGGAGTGCAGGGTGGTGGAGTGCAGGGCGGTGGGCGTGTAGGGTGGTGGGGGTGTAGAGTGGTGGGCGTGTAGGGTGGTGGGGGTGTAGAGTGGTGGGCGTGTAGAGTGGTGGGGGTGTAGGGTGGTGGGGGTGCAGGGTGGTGGAGTGCAGGGCGGTGGGCGTGTAGAGTGGTGGGCGTGTAGGGTGGAGGGGGTGTAGAGTGGTGGGCGTGTAGGGTGGTGGGGGTGTAGAGTGGTGGGCGTGTAGGGTGGTGGGGGTGTAGAGTGGTGGAGTGCAGGGCGGTGGGCGTGTAGAGTGGTGGGCGTGTAGGGTGGTGGGGGTGTAGAGTGGTGGGCGTGTAGGGTGGTGGGGGTGTAGGGTGGTGGGCGTGTAGGGTGGTGGGGGTGCAGGGTGGTGGGGTGCAGGGCGGTGGGGTGCAGGGCGATGGGCGTGTAGGGTGGTGGGGGTGTAGGGTGGTGGGGGTGCAGGATGGTGGGTGCAGGGCGGTGGGCGTGTAGGGTGGTGGGGGTGTAGGGTGATTGGGGTGCAGGGTGGTGGGGGTGTAGGGTGATGGGGGTGCAGGGTGGTGGGGGTGTAGGGTGGTGGGGGTGTAGGGTGATGGGGGTGTAGGGTGGTGGGGGTGTAGGAGGGGGCTGAGCTAAAGATGGAATGTAAGAGCGTGAGGGATAACCCTGAGACAATGATCCTTCTGCACGTATGTACCATTCAACATTCTGTGTCAAACATGAAAGGTAGGCGGACTGTGGAATGTTTTGTTCTTTGTTCCGAAAAGTAAAAAAATGGACATATATATGTTTAATATTTCATAAAACGTTTGTGTATTTACTGTCTGAAATTCTTTTTCAACAATTCTGTCCTTTTTTTCTTCGGTTTGCAGCAAAGAAGAGTATAATAATAGGATGGCAGCCGAGTTTTCATTTTCAACAATTGAACATCAATCCTAGAACAGTAATAGTATTATTAATATTTTTGGCTTATTTAACTCGAACAATGACAAAGACTTTTTTATATGTAATAAGTGATGAAATACTGTATAAGCTATAATAATCTGGATAGATGAAGGTATAAATATATACTCACCATAGTGAATCTAAGTTTAAGCTCTTCGAAAATCCTACGACTTTACATACTCGTGGTGTTTATTATTATTTAACAAAAATATAATTATGTAAGCGGAAAATATAAAAAATAAAATAAAGTTTCCTAAAAATAAATTCCATCCGCGCAACACGCCTTTATCGCTATGCTGTGTCCTAGCCGCGGTAAACGAATGTTTGTTTTACGGCTGTACAGCAGTGGGTCGACTAGGGCTGTTTGGCTGATTGGTAGATATGAATATTAAAGGGGCGCCGAAACCTGTTTGGGCATACACAGCCTTTAATAACACATGGCTTACTGGCGCGCGGGTGCGTGTGTGTGGTGTGTGGAGGGCAGGGGGCTTGCATGTGTCGGGAGAAGATGGTGTTGGGGGCAGTGCGGTGTAGAGTGCTAGGGGTATTTCAGAGATATAATTAACGTTGGTAACGAATGTTATGTGTTTGGCTTACAAATGAAATTACTGCTTTGAGTGTTGGTTGACAACGTGAATACATTTTTACATCCTTTATTAATATTTTTAAAATGTTGTGGACTTGTAAAATGTGTCAACACAACTATCTGTGTGATATTGTAAGATCACCGAATCACTGTCTGATGACGCAATCATAAAGACATGTTGAGTTTACTTATTACGTAACGTTGTATCTTATCCTTATGTGGCATTTTCAGAAACTGCAGTTTCAGTGAGTGAGTGAGTTTGATTTTACGCCGCTTTTAGCAATATTCCAGCAATATCACGGCAGGGGAAACCAGAAATGGGCCTCACAAATTTTACCCATGTCGGGAATCGAACCTGGGTCTTCGGTGAGACGAGCGAACGCTTTAACCACTAGGCTACCCGACCGCCCCAGAGTTTCAGTTAAGACAGTTTCAACTTCTTTCTTCTTTGGATACGATGATTCTGTATATGATAGATCCTTTATCAAGTACACTTGTTTATGGTACACACATCTCTACCGAAGCCTCACAATGAAAGAGTATAGATTGTGAAATCCAATTCACTTGTCTTGGTCAACATAAAAGCTAGTTTTCCTTCCTCGCTTTTTTTTTGAAAACTAAAAAAGACACGATTTTACAGTTAGAATTACAGTACATTGCCGCGTGGTGGGGCTTAGGGTAAATGGTGTCATACAGTTCAGTACAAGATATTTTTATGCACAAGTTTTAACAGTATCATACTTTAAAATTCTATCATAACAAACCATGAGACTACAAAGGTTACAACATATTCCTATCATTGTGCTATCTGTATTGGTGTATTACTGCCAGTTAACAAAGCATAGCATAAGACTCCTTATTTAACGATATAGCTGTTTATATTTTAATGTTGTAATTTTCCGAGTGTCCCGGCTAGTTCTTTTCATCGTTAGAGTCATTTAAAACCAATACTCTAATCAAGATTGAAAAATAATGTTTCACTATATTTTAATGTCAAATTATGATACAAACATTAAACGATTCTCATATGTTTATTTCAAAGACTGTTAAACATTTGCTCTCTAAAAATATAATGATGTGGAATTATTCAGAAATGATTTAAGCTCTGTACATAGTGTAGATTATGAGAAGAATACTCAACAAGCGATAAATGTCGAAAAGTACAAGATCTCAAATTTTAGCAGTAAACATAAAAAAAACGAGTCCTTGTCACGTTGTGACCCCTGAATAACTTCGGTAAAACAACCCAGCATATCTGCAGCCTAGAATGCCCCGAGAAACCACAGGCTGAACACATAGGGACTTGTTGAAGGTAACTCGCCAAGTCGACCATAGTGTATATCCCTCTCATCGCTCTAAGTAAAGAAATACCTCAAAGGTTTCCCACAACCGTTTTATCTGAAAGCCAATCTCTATTTATACAGTTTCTGTCTCCAAACCACAATCATTCTTGGGTTCGCCCAACCTCCGCCCAAAGTTCGTATTAATACAGTCTTGTGGTATCATTGTGTGCCCATCTTTTCATGTCGGCCTCAGTGTGGTGAAGAAAAAATCCTTAAAGACGCGAGTTTTCGTAAACAAACCCCCAAGCAACGGACTCCGCCATCGTGTTCTTTTCTTTTAATTACGAAACCTGATTACGACTTTGCGGTCGGAGTACATCTCCGCCGTCTGCGATATAGTTCTCGCATTTCAGGCTTCTCCTAAGTTGGTTGCACTGTAGACAGGCCACTGCGTCTGAAGTGATCGAATTCTTCCAACATGGCATTCTGTATCTGCACCGCTTAACCTAACCCCATCCGCCGAGTGCAAATAGATCCATACTGGCCTGCGGAGTGATTTCTCGCATGAAGCACGCGCTTTTTCCAAGGATATCGCCGACGCTTACTTTATACAGGTGGTTTTAACATGACAGAGGTTTAAATTAAATCAGGAACAGAAATCTTTAAATTGTGTGGGCGCAACCAGGAAAAAATGCAATGAATCTAAACATACGCTTCTCTCTGTGGGGCGCAGATAAGACGGGCGCAGCCTTATTCAACAGGTGTCGAGAGAAGATGGTGTTTGTGGGAATGTTGTGCGCGATGCTGGGTTATTTCAAGCAAATGATTAATGTTGGTAACGAAAATAATGTGTTTGGCTTTCAAATGAAATCACTTCCTGGCAATGTTATGTGTTTCGGAGCATGTACACACTTTACACCAAGAGTTAGTTTTTTAAAGATTTATATTCATGTAAACTGTTTTTTTTCACAACTATGTGTATAATATTGTTATATCAGAATCAATCTTTAATATCATTGAAATATTACTGATTTGGAGAATATTCGAACCTAACATTTTTTTTTCAGAGTGGTTGAATTATTTACGAAACGGTTATTAAACTGTTTGAACAAGTACATTAACGTAGCCAATTTACCTCTGACTCCGATGACGTGGATCAATGCTCGTGGTATCAATCACTGGATTGTCTGGTCCAGACCCGAATACTCACAGACCGACGTCATATATAGCTGGAATATTGCGGAGTGCGGCGTTAAACAACAAACCAACCAACAACCTCTGATTCCAGCGTCGAGTTCTTGTGTATGTTTCATTAAACTCCTGAACCTGGAATCCTTCTCACTAATTAGCTCGCGCATCATATTACCCAAACATGATCATTAAAAACAAACTGAAATATTGAACAGAGCATCCATCAGTTTAAAATGCCACCAAAAATTCTTTAACATAAAATAAGCAATTATATATCTGCAATTAGCTGAGGGGACCAAAAAAATACAACGAAATAGACAGCAGCATATGCTGCGGGGATCACGTGATCTCAATCAGTGATCCCCGAACTCATCACGTGACTCACCAAACTCACCACGTGACTCACCAATAGGGAAGGGACGAGCGACGGGGGTTGTACTGTCGCCACCACAGAAGCGCCCACAACGGGAGACTTTTGAAAAGTTATATCTGCTGAGTGAGTGAGTGAGTGAGTGAGTGAGTGAGTGAGTGAGTGAGTGAGTGAGTGAGTGAGTGAGTGAGTGAGTGAGTGAGTGAGTGAGTGAGTGAGTGAGTGAGTGAGTGAGTGAGTGAGTGAGTGAGGTTTAACGCCGTTTCGCACAGTATTTCAGCTACGTCACGGCGTGTCAGGTTGATGTTGGGAAGTGTGATGCAGGTCTCAGGTAACTGAGTGAAGAAGAGAGGACTGGATGTAGACTGTTTCTCTCCGTTGCATGTAAGGAATAGGACAACTGCAACAGATACTCGGTGGGTTTGTGAAGGGATTGACGCCGTGTTGTGTTGGCCTGGCGTGGGAGGCAGCGTTGCACGTGCTACATGTAAATATGTAACAGATGGGGACAAGTAAACAGACAGGACCGCTTCATAACTTGTGTCCGAGATACCTGCCTCCACAACAACTTTTACATAATAAACCATGTTTTCATAAGTATTGGGTGTTCACATGGGAGGGGCGGGGACGAAGTGGCTTCATTTAGTGTTGGGGTGAAATGGGGGCGGGGGGGGGGGGTGAACGAGAATCAATTCAGGGTGATGAAAGTAAGGACGAGTGAAAGGGTGGGTGTTCAAAGTGAGGACGAGGGAGGGGGTGGGTGTTCAAAGTGAGGACGAGGGAGGGGGTGGTGGTGAAAGTGAGGACAGGGAGGGGGTGGGTTGTGAAAGTGAGGACGAGGGAGGGGGTGGGTGTTGAAAGTGAGGACGAGGGAGGGGGTGGGTGTTGAAAGTGAGGACGAGGGAGGGGGTGGGTTGTGAAAGTGAGGACAGGGAGGGGTGGGTGGTGAAAGTGAGGACGAGGGAGGGGGTGGGTGGTGAAAGTGAGGACGAGGGAGGGGGTGGGTTGTGAAAGTGAGGACGAGGGAGGGGGTGGGTTGTGAAAGTGAGGACAGGGAGGGGGTGGGTGGTGAAAGTGAGGACGAGGGAGGGGGTGGGTGGTGAAAGTGAGGACGAGGGAGGGGGTGGGTGTTGAAAGTGAGGACAGGGAGGGGGTGGTGGTGAAAGTGAGGACGAGGGAGGGGGTGGGTGGTGAAAGTGAGGACGAGGGAGGGGGTGGGTTGTGAAAGTGAGGACAGGGAGGGGGTGGTGGTGAAAG